CTGAGTGACACACTGCCTGATAACACTTCCTTCCTCTGACTCCTGCACTCCACTCTTCTGAGCCCCACATGTAACACTGGCCCCACATTCCACACCCCACTCACGGCACACTCAAGTCTACTGGCCTCATGCTCCAATCCCTAACTCCATGCACACCCCCTGCCACTAGTGACCCACACAACTCAGCCCACACTCCGTCCCAAGTGGACCCACATCACGCCTATCCTAGCCCAACCCACAGGAACACTGCCACTGACTGGGTCCATACTGCACTCCAGGGCCGGCCCCCTCACCGCATACCCCAACCTCCACTCTACCTGACTCCACACTGCGGATCCCACCCCACATCCCAGTCCTGATCATCACTCCTTGCCCTGATCCTCCACTTCACGCCACGGAGCCCACATTCACACCACCACACTCACACTACTTACACACAAAGGCCTGTGTTGACAGCCTATAGTGTGACTTCCTGCCCCAGCACCAGAGAAACAACAGCTCATGGAAGTTACTGGCTTCAATTTTTATGTTTCTCAAAAATAGTTAAGCTACAGAGACAACCATCTCCTCTCACTGAGTTTGAGCGATATTCAGTCCCATCTTATGCCTTGCTGAGCCTGTCCTCTTAGGAGATGCAGGTCTCAGACTGCATACACATGCCCAGTTATCACCTGGGTTTTCCCTTAAAATCTCCATGTTCCCAACCCAGATCTTGGGAAGGTAGTCTTAGGAGGTGAGGAGCTGATTCTGACCATGCTTCCATGGCACCCTCAGTCGTGGGCACGGAGACTCGAGGGCAGACTCCGGGGTGTTAGTGTACACACTCAGGGGTCATGGAGGCTCACCTAGAGAACAGAAAACCTACCAGGCAGTAACAGATGCTTGCTAACAGAGAACATTTTCCTAGATTGTCACACTCCTCTCAGGCAGGCTCCACATCTGTGGAGCAGGACCATGTCTGTGGGAAAGACAGAGGGCAATGGTAGCACTGTAAGGCTGCGGGCTCAGCCTGCAGCTGTAACCTCCACCTCCCGGAGAGCACGACCTGCTCGAGAAGGCTGCAGGAAGGTATCTGTGCTGTTTGACAACCACAGGCCAAACCCGTCAGCATGCATCCAAATCCAGCTGTGTGGGTGGTGGTACTGCTCACATCCCCATGAGGCAGGGCACTGGGCAATTCTCCTTCAGTTGTCAGATTCTCCCAATCCATTTTACTCTGCAGCAGGCAGGCAGGAGACCTTACTTCATGGGAGCCTGAGAAGCACTCTTGGAGGCTAAAAGTAAACCGTATGTCCAGCCACTGCCTTTCACAGGCACAGAACCGTGGCCTGGCAGCCTGCAAACGCCTCCCCAGGGATCGCTGGCGAGGGAGCTCTAGCATCACCTACTGACACATTCTGGCCTCCAACAATGAGACCGCATCCAGAGCCTCCAGGATGCCATGCTAAACAACCTGCAGCTGAAGAAGGGAAGAGATCTCCATCTTCACTAACTTGCAGAACGTCCTGGCAACCTCAGGAAATGCGTTCTCCAGGCTCCTAGACACCCAACTTATGTCGTTTAAACTAGCGAACACAGAACCCAAAATCAGCAGAAACCTTCTGGAAAAACAGTAAGGCATCGAGGCAGACAATGTACACGTTGAGTGGGAGGCTCCCATTTCTAGTTGGGACACCATGGCTTCAGGTGCTGATCTGACCAGTGCTGAAGGGGCCCAGGCAGCTGGTGAACACTGTGGTGTCTGGAATAGTAGGCTGGGTGGGGAGGATGGGCCTTGACGTGGGGTGCACAGAAACAAAAGCCAGAGAAAAGGGGAATTTGTTCTCCTGTGGGAGAGTATCAGAGTATCTGGCCTTGGGCCGCCCCAACACCAGCCCTGTCCTCAGCCTTCAGAGCGAGCGGGGGGACAGAAAGCTTCCTGGTCTCCTGCCTGCAGTGTGTCACAGGACTGTCAGCCTCCACTATCCAGAGTGCCCACTCCCCACTAAACCTCTTTTCCTCTCTGTTCACACATAGGTCCCATAGGTTCTGTCTCTTCAGAGAGCCTAATGGACAGGGTAAAATGAACATGATGTCACTGTTACACCCCAGGGTTTATGACAGACACAGAACTGTTTGCAGAACCTTAAAATTGCGTTATATACCAGGACTTTTCATGATTTGAATTTTTAACAAGAGGAAAGGTAAACCAAAGTGGTTTCTAAGATGAAGCACAAAAGCCGCCACTACGCCACAGATCACTGATGGGGAGCGAGCCACAGCACCAGGTGAGCGGTGGGGATGCGATGGCCTGTGAGCAGGTCGCCCAGCAGCTGAGCACGTGAGTTATTTTCTTCTCAACTAAAACTTGAGCACTCAGGTTTCACTGCAGCAAGCACTCTGAGATACATGAGCTTCCTCTAGTGGAAGAATTTTCTCTAACAGCCATTTCTAACTTCAGAAAGCATCGGAGACGAAAAGCTCCACAGCGACATGTGCGGTACACACTGTGCCCTCTGGTGGTTTACAGTCCTTCACAGGCTGGTAGGACAAACAGCAAGAGCCCCAGGCCGATCCAGGTCAGCTTCTTCAGGGTAAACCCTTGCTCACAAATGCAAGGAAAGACTGCATGAGCTGCATTTACATACTTAACATACAAAAATATCCCTGAAAAAGAGAACCATAGGAAGAAGGAAGACAATGCAGGGAAGGAGCTCTATCTCCTAGGTCTGTCTTGCCCAGACAGGGGACGTTATAACAAAGCGGGTAATTCACTTCTTTTTTTAATGAAACTGACTTGCTGGATACGCCCAGGCACAGCCCACATCAGTCCTTCCTCAGGGGAACGGTCTCCTCCCTGATGCCTTCTTTGGTCACAATACAGATCCTGAGGGCGTCCCCAGTGTACACATCCCTCTCAGCTGCAGAAATGAAGACATCTTTCACCAGCCGCATGGCTCTGTCCAAAGAGAGTGGCACATGTTCCACGTTCTGCATGTTCTTGAAGCCAACCTGGAGGGACAGTAGACGTGCATGAGCTGAGGTATCATAGTTCAGTAAGACTAAAGGCACCCACCTCCTCCAATGCGCATTCTTCTACAGGGACACTGGAATATCCTCTAGTCCTGGCTCAGCCACACAGACCAGATGCCCATAACGCTCCTGGGCAGCACACTTCAAGCAAGGGAAGATGTAGGTACGCGAGACATTAGACAGAAAGCACTGGGATGGGCAGCAGGAGGGTGGTGAACGATATCAGCAGGGAAGGGCATCCAATGCTCCTGCCTGGGAGTGGGGGCTAAGACAGGAGGAAGACATCATTTCGGTTCAGGGAAAAGCGGTCTGCACATGGGGAGTCACCGGAGGTGGGGCAGGCAGGCAGAAAGCAGCAGGGAGGTAGCTGTACAAATCCTATTTCCCAAGAGTGGGCAGGATGAATTAGGAACTTGGGTGTGGAGGCAGAAAGAATACTGGGAAATAAATCCAACAATGCAGGTCTGAATACACTTCAGAGTCAGGACAAAAAAAATCAGGTACTTAGAAGTGGTAAGTATAGGGAAGAGTAGTTTCACAACCTCAGGTAAGGTACCACGTAAGACTGAAAACAGGGCCCCCCCACTGCAGCCATAAGAGACCCACAGCACAGAGGAATACAGGTCAAAGTCAAAGCAGGTGGGGACCCCGGGAGGGTCAGCCTGCAGCTAAGGAGAATGGAGATCAGGGGGGAAACACCAAGGGGGATGATGATCTTCACTGCTGTCGGGCTCCAGCTCTTAACCTGGTTGTCCAGCAAGGGCTGCAGCATGGCGCTTGCTGAGCCTCCAGCCTTGAAGGAGTCTCTCTGGTAGGAGCCCACCGGATCAAAGCTGTACACAGCTCCCTTCCCTGCAGCAAGAAAACAATTTCTGTAAGGACTAGCTCCTGACACCACCAAACCACAGGAAAAACTCATCATCATGTGACACAAAAGACACATCAACTCAGCTCAACTTCTGGCCAATGACCAGGAATCCTGCACTAACTTACCAGTGCACAGGTGACATCTGTAGGTGTCCAGCTCCTCCCAACTGCTCTTCAGGGAATACAGCCAGAGGAAACAAGACCAAAGTCTGAGGCACAGCGCTGCAGCCGACCTGTCCCCTAGCAGCCTTTCGCCCTCTTCAAGCTAATGGTGAGGATGGCCTGTGGCCCCCAGCACGAAAGTGCTTCACAGACACACTGGCCAGCTCTCACAGGCCCACTTTAAAGCTAACCTAACCCTAGTTCTCACGAAACCCCTTATGACGGTCCCCCAGAATGAACCACAGTTTAAACATTTCCCAATGCTGAATGTGTAAGCAATCACACAAAAACCTGAGTGCTTAACAGAAGGGACATTATTTGACATCATAAGGTGAAACCCAGTATTTAATAAGGGCACAATTTCAGAAAAATATAAATATCACATATAAAAGACTAGATCTGCCCACAATGTAATAATTTTCCTCTACATTGCAATGATAAAGTCTTACTGTTTAAACACAAACAATGAAACAAGAATGACATTCTGCATTGTTTTTTTTTTTTTTTTTTGAAAAAGAAAATATTGGTTTTATGTTATTGTTATGGATTGGGGTCAGAAAGTCTGTAGAACTTGCTGGTATTAGATGTACTAACTCAGTCTGCAATTATAGTAAGTATTAAAAGATAATCATAGGTGAAGAATTTTTAGAAGTGTAGCAAAGATGGCCATAGAGCATATAAATAACAATATACAGGTTTCAATAAATTCTGCATTGTTTAAAAAAGCCAAAGTTACAAGCAACCTAAAATTTATTAGTTACAAAAATAGTAAAGCCAAACAACACACAGCACACCAATGTTTACAACAAACTTGGGAGCCAGACTGGTCAGGGGCAAGTCCTACCATTAACCTGATCAGGCTGCTCATTTCAGCTCTATGTAAAACCTGCAGAGAGGACACTTTGAGTTAATGCGCAGGACACTCGGGTAATTCCTACTATGTCAAACGTGCCCCTCACATGTTCCATGTGCACAGTAACAACTTATTTGGGGGCCTTGGAAGAGGAAGACAATGTTCTTATCACACACTTGTCACTTTTAGCTTTCTGTGTTTTTCCACTGCAGAAAGGTGTGGACTGATTTCGCTGCTAGGAATGACTGCATGAGGTCACCTAAGAAAAGCTCAGGAGAGATGTTTATGCTGGGTGCAAATCTGGACAAGAGATGGCAGTGATTCAGCCTCAATCTGCAAAGAACAGAGACGAGGCACAATGGCAGAAAGAGGGCCTCTATCCTGTACGAGGGAGCGACCATAAGTGAAATGAGTCCAAATGCTGTCCCCAAGAGGGTGGAACCAATCCCAGAAAGCCACACAGGACAGACAGACTTGAGGCTTGATCAAGACAAGAGCTTCAAGCCCACGCAAAGGCACCTGGAACATCAAATGGCATGAATCTGGACTGGAAAGGCTTTCTTTATCAAAATAAATTCCAAAAGCACAATGATTTGAGTACAAAAGAGATGAACTTGGGATGGGGAAGCTTTCTAATAAGGCAAGAAATGGCAAGACTGACACAGCAGGCTGTTACTCGATCACTTTATGCATCAAAAGAAATCCCTCCCACAAAGGGCAAAGAATCCCACCGGGGGCATCCATCACAGCAACAACCACGGGCCAACACAAGCCACGGACCCTTGCACATCAACACAAAAAGACCAAGCTGTGAATAAGACGACAAGCAAAAGTGAATCTGGGTCAACTCTAGGGAAGAAACGCAAAGGTCAACAAAAATAAAAAGATGCCCCCAAAAATTATGTTCTCATGCCTCCAGCTGGTAGAGGACTATGGGAACATCTTCCTAGAGGCCTGGACAGAACTGAGAATACAAAATAACCAACCCTGAACTTCTGACCCAGTAATTCAAGTGGTAGGAGTTTTCCTGAAGAAAAGCCTCATCAGAAAAGCACACGAGAGTACGTAAAATGATGCTCAGCATATTGTTCGGGACAAACACCTTCAAAAGACTGGTTAGGCACCTTATGATATGGCCACATAGTTTAAACCAGCCATCAAAAACCACGCATGCTACCTGCTATCATTAACACTCTGGGAGGCTGAGGAAGACCGAAAGTTCAAATACAGCCTGGGAAAACTTAGCACGACTCTGTCTTTTAAAAAAAAGAAAGAAAGAAAGGTCAAGGCTGTAGCCCAATGCAAAGGCCTGGGTTCAATTTCTGCTACTATTATATATATTCATTATACATACCTAGATAGCTTGAACCTATCCACATAATACATCCAATGATGTGTGTATAGTGACATATACATGGGGGAGGGAAAAGGGAGGGAAAGGCGGGCAGAGAGGGACAGGAGAGGGAGGGGAAGGGGAAGAGGGAGGGAATGAATATGAATATGAGTATCCCTCATCCAAAATTCTTGGGGGGGGGGAGTGAGAGCTAAGTCTGAACATAAAATTACGTTTTATATACTCTTAATACACACAACTGGAAGGTAATTTCATACAATATTTTAAGTACATTTGTGAATGAAACAAAATTTAATGGATTGGCTCTTTCTACTGTGGCAGCAGGTTGGTGGTTAAACTTTTCAACTGTAAATCATTTCAGGTTTCAGATTAAGGGTGCCCAAACTGCACTACAGTTCTATTTATGTAAAATTCTCAAGGGTGTAAATAAACATGTTTATTTGCACTGCAGAAAAACTAAGCCCACTTTTAATTTTGGGGAAATTTTAAAAAGTATTGCAATAACATCAAAGGCACAGAGGTCAAAGCAGAAGGTGCTGACCCTGAAGGACAGCTGTCGGGCCGTGCCCACAGGTATCCCGTGCCCACCACTACTCAAAGAAGGCAGAGTCTGTGCAGACACTAGCGGAGGGTCTGCATTTAGGGCACCAAGCCCAGAGTGGACTAAGGTTAGAGATGGCGTGAGACAGCAGCATGAATGGAAAGCCAATGTGAACAGAGCAGGGACACCAGCCACTCTGTTCCACATCTAAGTGGTCGGCCAGCAGGTCTCTCTCCCGAGGCCAGGCCGCAGCTGTAAGGTGCCTTCACCTGAGGGAGGCAGCGGCCACCTGAGCGCCCGC